CAAAATGATAATCTTGCTGAGCAGAGTATCCTAACTGGTAGGTTTTCCTGTTTCAGCAGTCTAAATGTATCTTGCCACTCCTTTCTGGTCTGTACAATTTCTGCAGAATAATCAGCTGACAGTTTTATGATGGTTTTCTTGTATGCAACTCTTGGTTTTTCTCTTTGTCTATTCAACTCTTGCCATTTTCATGATGGTATATCTTAGTGTGGGTCTGTTTGGGTTCATTTTGTTTGGGACCCTCTGTGCTTTTTGTGTCTGGATAGCTGTTTCCTCTTTCAGGCTTGGGAAGTTGGCAACCGTAATTTCACCAAGTGGCTTTTGGATAGCTTTCTCTCTTTTCGCCACCTGGGACATCTATAATGCTAATGTCCGTCTTCTTGATGTTATCCTAGAAATACTTTAAACTGCTCTCATTAAATTTTTTTTCTTTTTGCTATTCTGACTGGGCAATTTCCATTATTCTATGTTTTGTATCACTTATGCATTCTTCTGTATCACCTGGTCCCCTGGTAATTCCATAGAGGGTATTTTTTCATTTCAGATATTGTATACTTCAGTTTTGTTTTTTTTAAATGTACTTTCTAATTCATTGTTACAATTCTCACTGTGTCCATCTAGTCTTTGCTTTTTTTTGATTTTTGTTTTTAACTGGAGGAGAATTGCTTTACAGTGTCAAGCTGGTTTCTGCCATACAACGTGAATCAGCTCTAAGTATACACATATCTCTTCCCTCTTGAGCCTCCATCTCATTACCTCCCCCCTCCATCTTGCTCCTCTAGGAAGTCACAGAGCACTTTCATAGAACTAGAACAAAAAATTTTACAATTTGTGTGGAAACACAAAAGATCCCAAATAGCCATCTATCCTTCTCTGTAATTGTTATCATGCCTATTACCAATGCTTTGAACTCTTCTTTTAAAAAGTCTTTATTTTCCCACATGGCACTTGTGGTAAAGAACCCGCCTGCCAATGCAGGCGACATAAGGGCCTTGGGTTGGATCCCTGGGTGGGGAAGATCCCCTGGAGGAGGTCATGGCTACCCACCCTAGTATTCTTGTCTGGAGTATCCCATGGACAGAGGAGCCTGGTGGGCGACAGTCCATGGGGTCGCAAAGAGTCAGACACACTGAGGTGACTTATTGCTACTGTTTTATGCTTTGGTTTTTTTTGGCCCTGAGGCATGTGAGATCTTAGGTCCCCAACCAGGGGTGGAAACATCACTCCCTGCTTTGGAAGGTGAAGTCTTAACCCCTGGACCACCAGGAAGTCCCTTGAACTCTGTATTTGGTCAATTATTTATTCTGTTTCATGAGTTGTATATCCAGGGATCTTCTCTTGTTCTTTCAAATGAGATATAAATTCTTCTATCTTCTCATTTTGCTTAACTGTCTCTGTCTGTCTGAAATTAAGTGAAACAGTTACCTGTTTAGACCTCGTGCAGGACTGTCACTATTTGTTTTACATGTGTGCCCAGTGGGAGAGCTGAGTCTGATGTGAGCATGAGTCCCGTCTTTTCCCTGGCTGTGCTGACAGCTATCAGCTTGGTAGGAGGCGGAGGGGCTAGAACCAGAGCCAGGCCTGAGCTGGGGCTTCTCTGCACAGTGGCCAGCATCACTGCATTCGGGCCGGGGATGAGTCTCAAGTTGTTGGAGCAGAAACCCCGAGGGCCAGTTTGTAAGCAGCTCCGTTCCCTCAAGTGTGTGTGTCCCTGCCCTTCCCAGCCCTGACACCCTCGCCCCAGAAGGGTGCAGGGCTGGAGCAGGAGGAGCTGGGCTGGGCGCTGGATGGGGCAGGGTCACGTGCCCAGGAACTCCTAGGAAACCAGCCGGAGTCCTTGGCAGTTTCAATCTGCCGCCTCCTTCCTGTTTTGGGAGTCAGCAAGCGTGTGCACGTTCTTCAGTGGCATTATCGGTCTCAAAGAGCCCCACTGTTAGTCCCACTGATTTTGAATCTTGTCTTCCTAGTTTTGAGCCCCACGTCAGCAGCACCCAGAATGTGATTTGAACAGTTTGCTCCCCAGGGACGATCTCTCAGGCCATGTAGCCCCTGTAACCCCGATTCTTCTCTGTGTCCCTTCCCAGGGGTGCAGGTCCTGGCCTGATTGCTTCTCTTCTCTGCCTACCAGAGTCTGTGTGCATCTTTCTGCCAGCTCCACTATGTAGATGTATTTTTTTCAAACTTTACATTTTTTATTTTATACCGGGGTGTAGCTGATTAACAATACCGCAGTAGTTTCAGGTGGACAGCGAAGGGACTCAGCCATACATATACATATATCCATTCTCCCCCAAAACCCCCACCTTCCACCCAGGCTGGCGCATAACCCTGAGCAGAGTACCGTGTGCTCTACGACAGGTCCTGGTTGCTTATCCATTTTGAATACAGCAATGTGTACATGACCTTCCCAAACTTCCTATCTCTTACTCCCACAAGGCAACCATAAGTTCATTTTCTAGGTCTGTGAGTCTCTTTTCTGTTTTGTAAGTTTGTTGGTATCACTTGTAGATGTATGTTTTGATGGAGATGTATGGAGAGATGACCTCCTTGTCCTTCTACTCTGCCATCTTAATCTCCCTCCAAGCTTGTGTACAAGTTCTTATATGGACAAAGGTTCTCATTTCTCTTGCATATAAATGTGGGGGTAAAAGTGGTGGCTCTTATGGAGCCCTTAGGATTCGTAAGGAGAGACATGGGGGCTTCCCTAGCAGCTCAGTGGTAAAGAATCTGCCTGACAATGCAGGAGGCATGGGTTTGATCCCTGATGCGTCAGAATAACTAAGCCTATACTCCACAACTGCTGAGCCTGTGCTCTACAACCTGAGAGCCTCAACTACTGAGCCCATGTGTTGCAACTACTGAAGCCCTTGCACCCTAGAGCCCATGCTCCACAACAAGAGAAGCCACCGTAATGAAAAGCATGTGAACTGCAATTAAAGAGTAGCCCCCGCTTGCTTGCCGCAACTAGAGCAAAGTCCACGCAGCAGTGAAAACCCAGCATAGCCAAGAATAATTAAATAATTTTTTTTATAAAAAAAGAAGAGAACTTGCCTTAGAGAATAAGCTCACAAACACTTGAAGCACTTTGAATGACTCTTGCTGTTTAACTTGTTAATTTAGTGAGAGTCACATTTTTAGTTGGTTCTTTGAAGAATTGATGTTAATCAAATTTCTCTGTCGAATATAAGTGGGTGAGTGTTAGTCAGTTGTGTCTGACTCTTTGTGATCCCCTAGACTGCAGACTGCCAGGCTCGTCTGTCCATTGAATTTTCCAGGAAAGAATCCTGGAGTAGGTAGCCATTGCCTTCTCTAAGGGATCTTCCTTACCCAGGGATTGAACCTGGGTCTCCTGCATTGCAGGCAGATTCTTTACTATCTGAGCTACCAGGGAAGTCCCCGTCTAATGTAAACTATCCAACAAAGTTTAGCACTCCACTATAGGGTGATAAAGCCCTTGTTGGGTTTATATGGAAGTGAGAAAGTTTCAACTGGGGGAGAGGGCCTGCTAGCTGATTTTAGCCATAATTAACTCTCTGCTTCCTTCTTTGCATTATGATGGGAATTTATTGTTCCTTTTGTATTACTCTTTTTTTTGACTCTTCTTTTTTCTTCTTCACACATGTAAGCCATATAGGCATATACTCCACATATATATATATATATATATATATATATATATATACGCATATATAACCTCATATACTCCAATTTTGTTCCTGCTTTTCTCTTCTTCTTCAAACTCCTGGTTGTATCAAAATGTTCCTCAGTCTTATGTCAGTTAAGACAATAAAATTATGAGACTCAAATGAGTTATCAGTTTCCTTTACAAGTATGTCATATCCAGATAAATATGGGCACCACTGCTGTGCATTTATTCTAAAAGTTCTGTGATTACTAAAAATATTTTGGCCACTTATCATGCAGTGCATGCTGTGCTAAGTCACCTCAGTTGTGTCCTACTCTTTGTGACCCCATGGACTGTAGCCCACTAGGCTGCTCTGTCCATGGGGTTCTCCAGGCAAGAGTACTGGAGTGGGTTGCCATGCCCTCTTCCGGGGGAATTTCCCGACCCAGGGACTGAACTCATGTATCTTATTAAATCTCCTGCATTGGCAGATGGGTTCTTTACCACTAGTGCCACCTTGGTAGCCCATGTAAAAGTTACTCTCAAAACCTGTCTGAGCCCTATGAGAAAACTAGTTCCTCTTCCTTGTAACCACACTGAATATATCAGGAGTCTTGCCACTCTGCTTGTATTTGTCTTCCTGTTTCCAGTTCCCTTTTTAATGTATTGCTCTAGTCCCCAAGCAAGAAGAGTTCTGGGTTCAGGGGGGCTCAAAGTACAGGGCAAGGCTAATGGTCATGGAGAGCCCAGTAGGGAAAGGAAGTTGGCCTGGTTCACAAGACCTTGACCTTTAAACAAAGCATGCTTAAACAGCTCTTTTTAGTCTGTCCTTTCCTGTGTCCCATTTCTGCTCTGTGATTCCTCACCCACCTTTATAACAGAAAAGAGCCATCAAATCCTCAGGCTGGGTCATAACCTTGAATTGCCTAACTCTCAGGGGTAACGGGGAGAACCACAGAGAGAGGCCCTTCTGAGGCTTCCTTTCCTTCTGCCCCTGGGTGTTTAGTTAATGTTCTACCAGCACTTCCCACTTGTCGGGGGCCAGGACTATACTCCAGCCCCACATCACTGCTCAGGGCAGAGGGCACTTTGTCCAGACAGCTTTGATTCCAGAGAGACCTGCATCTGAGCTTCACACTTCACCTTCGAGTCTGTGTCCTCTGTGGTCTTGTATCTTCTCGGGTCTCAGGCCCTGGCTCTTCACATTCTCTTCTTCTGTTCCTCACTGTTCTTGGGGGCTGAAAATGAGGATGTCTGCTAATGGTGGAAAAAGAAACTAGTTTGCACAGCAAATAACAACCTAAAGCTGGGCTTCCTGCCCTTTGTGACCCCCTCTCCTCCCCAGAAGTTTCTGAGCATCCCAAACCTCTGTGAGATGTGAGCTGATTGTGCAAATCTGTCTCCAAGGTCTCCTCGGCAGTGGGGTTATGTTTGGAGGCTTTATGTCCTGGCTACTATCTTACTTGTGTTTCTCTTTTCCAGAGGAGTCTACTTCTTACTAGTAAGTATGAGGCCGATGGTCTACAGATTCATCCTCCTTTCACCCTTTATTAGTTGCAGAATAAGTGTTGCCATGTCTGTTTGCCTAAACCAGCGGTGGGGAGAGCGAGCAGGGAAGCAGTGGCTCACGTGCCCGGGAGGGGAGCAGAGAGCACTTGAGTGGATGGACGGCTCTGCCGCAGAGTGAAGGGTGAGCTGCAAACAAGGAAGGGAGCCACAGGAAGCCGAAGAGTTGTAGGCAGTGAGAGTCTATCCCCAGGGGAACAGAGAGGGGGCTAGACAGAGCCTTTGGGTGGTCCCAGCCCTGCTGCCTGCAAGAAGAGTTGCCTGATCCCTGCCTATTATGGGCACATTCTGGGCTTAGGCTAGGTTCTGGGCTGCAGAGATCAATAGGCATGGCCCCTACTTTACAAGTGTACACTCTAACTAACCAAAAGAAGATAGTAATGAATAGAAATCAGATGCGGTTTTCAAGATGTGTGGTATCGTGGGCTGAGATTGCTTCTTCCATCACTAACAGCTAACATTTATTCTTCCCCCATTTTCTTCCATGTGCCCTGTACATGGATTAACTCCTTGATTGCCAACAACCGACCTGGTAGGTAGGTATTGTTACAAGTCCCCTTTCATGGTGAGGAATCAGAGGCACAGAGAATACACACAGCTTGCCTGAGGTCTCACAGTAGGGACTCCAGCACGGCTGGTCTGGCTCTAGGACAGGTGCTCGGAAGTAATACAGCTTCTAGTGAGTCATCTGAAGACCACAGAGCTCTGTGACTTCTCATTCACATGCCTTTGGGTCCACTTGCCCACCCCTTTGCCTGGAATACTCTTTCTTATAGACTCTGGTCAAGGCAGACTCCTTTGACATCTTGTCTGACTCCTGTGTATCCTGGGACGGTCAGTGTCCTCAGAGCTTGACTAGCACTTTGCGTATGTTTCGTTAAACTACTTCATGGTCTGTTTGTTGGGATCTCTGACTCTTTGTGTTATAAGCTTCTGGAGAGGAAGTTCCTTTTTATTTTGGAAAATTTCAAAAATAGTTGCAAAGCTGAAAGCAATAATATAATGAATCTACCTGTACTTATCATGTAACTACAGCAGTGATCGTTCTGTGGCCAGTGTTGCAGCATCTGTACTTCCTCTCCAACCTAGATTGTTTTTTTGTTTTATTTTATTTATTGATTGATTGATTGTTTTATTTTTGGCTGTGCTGGGTCTTTGTTGCTGCACGCACATTTCCTCTAGTTGTGGCGGGCAGGGGCTACTCTCCATTGGGGTGCATGGGCTTCTCATTGCAGTGGCTTCTCTTGTCACAGAGCACAGTCTGTAGGCACACAGCCTTCAGTAGTAGCAGCACCCGGGCTCAGTAGTTGAGGCTCGCAGGCGCTAGAGCACAGGCTCAGTAGTTGTGGGGCATGGGCTTAGTTGCCCCTGGGCATGGGCTTAGTTGCCCCTCGGCATGGGGGATCTTCCTGGACCAGGGGTCCCCATGACCCCTGCCTTGGCAGACAGATTCTTAACCACCAAACCACCAGGGAAGTCCCAACCTGGATTGTTTAGAAAAAGTCCCAGATATCACATCACTGCCTCTGTAAATATTTCATTTGTATTACTAAAATAGAAGGGGTCTTTAAAAAACATAATCCCAGGATCACTGTCCCACTAAAAAGTTATACTTCATTAAGTATCATAAAGTGTTCAGTGTTTGAATTTTAGCAATTTTCTCACCATTTTTCCCTTCCCGTCTCATTCTTTATTCTTTCATTTCCTCTATATCTCCCCTCCCTTTTTTTACAGTTGAATTTTTAAAATAAAGATGCAAATAAGGGCTTTATTTTGTAATCATCACATTGTTCTCAGCAAGTGACTTAGTGCTTGTCATATAGTAAATTCTCAGTAAATGATACTGAATGAATGAGTCATCAGAAGTCTATGACATCTCATGGTTAAATTAGTGCGATCTTACCTTCGCTTTTGGTTGGTTTGTCGGGATGGCTTTTGGTTTCTGATGACTTTAGCTAGGAGTTAACTTTGGTGCTAGCTACTATCAGTGCCTGTGAACATTACTAAAGGTCTGAGGGCAATGTATGCACTTGTGACTCAGATTTACAGGTGAGCAGGGAAGGGGCCCTTGCTTTCTCATCTTTATTGTTTGTCTTCGGAGTCTTGTAATAACTTGAGTTTGGACCGACCAGGTTTGGCTTTTTTGCTTCTGTAGAACAGAAACCCTGAAGGAGCTCCCTGAGAACAAGAACGGCTTCCGTATGGTGCTGTTGTAGGCAGCATTCTAGGATGGACCCTCAAGACTTACTCCCAATCCCTGAACTGAGAATATGTGATGAGTAATCGTGTGGGTGATTGTGTTATGTTACGTGGCAAAAGCGATTTTGCAGGTATACTGTAAGTAGGGTCAGTCATCAGTTGACTTTGAGTTTAACAAAAAGAGATGTGATCTAAGTGGGCTTAATGTAATCACAGGAGCATTTTAAAAGCAGACGGTTTTTTTTTAAGCTGGCCTCAGAAAAGAAGTCAGTGAGATTAGCAGTATAAGAGGGATTGGATTTAAGGGATGTTCTCTGAGTTATTTCTCTGAGTCACTGAGATAGAGGGAGCCTCATGCCTAGGACCTGAGAAGGTCTTCTAGGAGCTGAGAGTGTTTGTACCAAGAAAGTGCAGAGTTGCCTTATGGCCTCAGAAAGGACTGTTCCTAAAGCTGATGTGACTTCTAGCTGAAGGAGGTGGCAGGTGGTGGGAGGGTGGGGGCCCATGATTAAGACTTAAGGATTTCTCTTCCCTCAGTCTGTGGTCCAGACCCCAGTGCATTAGACCTAGGTGGTGGTGGGGCAGGGTGGGGGTGTTGAGGGGAGGCCTCAGTGCACTTCTGAAGATTTCTNGTATAAGAGGGATTGGATTTAAGGGATGCTCTCTGAGTTATTTCTCTGAGTCACTGAGATAGAGGGAGCCTCATGCCTAGGACCTGAGAAGGTCTTCTAGGAGCTGAGAGTGTTTGTACCAAGAAAGTGCAGAGTTGCCTTATGGCCTCAGAAAGGACTGTTCCTAAAGCTGATGTGACTTCTAGCTGAAGGAGGTGGCAGGTGGTGGGAGGGTGGGGGCCCATGATTAAGACTTAAGGATTTCTCTTCCCTCAGTCTGTGGTCCAGAACCCAGTGCATTAGGTGGTGGTGGGGCAGGGTGGGGGTGTTGAGGGGAGGCCTCAGTGCACTTCTGAAGATTTCTGCGAGTTCACAAGGCCTGAGTTTTGCCCACGTGTGTCTCACAGGTGTGTGTCTAGGCAGCAGGCTCCAGAGGCAGGACGGGCTGAGGCCCACAGCACCCAGAGCACCAGAGGCAGGGAAAGTCTCACCATAGGAGATGCCCGCATCCATAACAGAAGCAGGAGGGGGAAGGAGGTAGGATGAGGAAAGGGCTCCTGGAAGCTCGGCCATCTCACGGCTGCCTGGCTTGTGTGGCCTCGGAGGGGCCATGTCTCTGGGGACTCTTCCATGACTAGGAAGGGTGTGAGGACCTAACTGAGGGTGGGGACTGAGATCACCTCTCATATTTCAGAAGGTAGGGGTTCCCTGGTCAGTCAGGGCACGTGGTGGAACAAACCAGTTCTCACTCAGTTCCAATCTGGCCCTTCGGCGCTCAGGTATTTTTGAAGGCTTTGGAAATGCAAGAAGGACTGATGGTTATTGTTGTGTGTTATAACTTCCCACCTCTTCATGGCTGCAGCTTTCTCTGGGTACCAAGTGTGGCAGGTATGAATATGTGCCTCTCAGGTGTCTTGGGGTGGGGATTTACTGATGGAAGGCCCTCTGAATTCACTGCCCCTTTGCACAGAGAACACACTTCACACTGGCTCCCAGTTAGGGATGTGAATTCAATCCCAATTCTGAGAAATGATCTTTCTCCATGGTAGGGCATGGATCTTCCCTGCCCTACCAGGGAATCCTGGGTTTCCAAATGAATCTCTACCTCTAGAATTTCCAGTGTCACAGCCTCAGTTTGGGATAAGTCCTCACATCCTGCCTAGCCATGTAAGATTCCCTGGAGACACGGCCCTGGGAGAGACACTCACCATATTTCTATACATAAACAGTAAACAGTATGAAAAGGAAAATTTCAAAATTCCATGTACAACAGCGTCAATAAGAATAAAATACTTAGGAATTAACCAGGTAAGTGACAGACTTGTACACAGAAAAACTAAAAGACAATTTTTAAAAAGGGGAACACACAGTAAAAGAAATTAAAGAAGACATAAATAAGTGGAAAGATATTCTGTGCTCATGTACTAGGAGACTTGATATTTCTAGATGACAATACTAATGAAAATGTAGTGGATGTATATGGGTAATGATTCCCTGCCCAGGAACTGAACCTGATTAGCCTGAATGAAAACCAGGAATCCTAGTAGGGAGACCACCAGGGGCTAGAGGCAAAGTTCCCCTGGCTTTACCCCCACTGAAAGCAATAATGTGTCAAGGAGGCAAAAACTAAAAACAATAACAAACTTTATTAGAGACACAGCATAATATGTGGCAGAGCATACAGAGAAACAGTTTGTTTATTTAAGATAGAAGCAAGGCAGAAATACACTCCCAGAGAGGAAGGCGGGTGTCCTGAATGAGAAGCACGGTTAAGACATGGCTTAAATCAGTTATACAGGATGATCCTTCTGGGTCTTTATTTACCTTTGGCCAGTTATATAACTTCTTTTTCCACATCAGACCTGTCCTAGGATCCTCCCCAAGTCACATGGGTAACTTTTTGCTGAGATGGATCCCACCGCAGAGGCATGTCCACACGTATTATGGGGTGACGCTCCCCCCCTTCCCTTTTTGACCCCCAAGGAGCCTTCCTGCACATGTACATACAGGGAAGTTTTCCTTGACCTCAGGAGTGGACGTCTTATCTCTTTACTTCAGCAGAGCTCATCTCCTGCCACTAGCTCTATCCTCAGAGTGTCTGGGTGAGAACAAAGCTTCGATTTTA